AAGTGGAAATCCTCCTACGTGCCTGGTACTGTATCTAAAGCTGCCCAGGTCCAGTACAGCCTCCCCTCCCTTACTTTTCATTTTAAATTCTAGTGGGATCCACATACTTCCCTTGCTAGGCTTCAGATAGAGAGGTGCACTGTCCATTTAGTCCACCCAATTCTTTCTTTGGGGGCTGCAAGGTGAGGTCACACCAGTATCCCTAATCCAGTCTGGGGATGTCTTCTGAAGGGGATACTGGGCCAAAGCCTTCTACTCCTTGGGCACACTTGTTCCCCATTCACAGTGCCACCCCACTCTAGCAGTGAGCTCTCCATTCACAGCAAGATGCAGCATGAGGTTTCAGCTGCCATACTCCCTCCCCCTCCCTTTCCTGTTGATAGCGGCCAAGGGAATGCTGAGAAATGTAGTTCTTTCCCTGCTCCAGGGCTGGCTCTATAGGCAGGGAGCTAACCAAGGAACTACAGCTCCCAGGGCCCCCTGTTGGTTCTCAGCTCCCATGCTGGATCCCTGCCAGGTGCCGCCCCTGCAAGTGGGCTGCCCCAAGTACCTGCTTGCTTTGCTGGTGCCTAGAGCCGCCCCTGAAAACAGGCACATCTAAAACTTTGCCCAACTTTAACCATTTGAGCAGATGTTTCTTATGCCTCAGGCTGTATTTGGGGAGGGGGGTGTGGAGATTTTTAGCCAAAGTGGTGCAGCCATTTCCGAGAACAAGACTAGAGTAAAATATTTTGCCCATGTTAAAAAAATTATAAAAGCTCTAGAACCTCAGGCTTTACAGCACAGACTTGAAACTTAGCAGGTGGTGACCTTTGTATCAAAGATGTGCCTTTTGCCAACTCTGTGAAAATATAGCCAAGTTATAAGCCTTTGAGAAACTGCAATTCGTCAGTGTTCAGTAAAGACTTATTAGCGCTTCCCAGCTTATTTCCCCAAAGATTCTATCAAGAATGGGCATGCTCTAGACTCAGGACTTTCCATGCAATTACAGTTCCCAGCTGCTCTGGGCCATGCCGGGTGTTGGTCTGACCCTGGAACTGAGAGCAGAGAGCATGTCTCATAATGCATATGTATGAGGGGATCAAATGAAGGTTGCACAGACAATCTTAATTCTGGCATTTCCGAACTTTTCCGGGCTTGACTTTGCAACCTTAATAATGTTCTTTTAAGTTTTTGTATACGTAATATTTATATTGTGATAGTGCTTAGGAGAACCACTCATAGGCAAGACCCCAGTGTGCTAGGCTCTATACAAACACCCAACAAAAAGGCTGTATATGGTCAAAGATTTTATAATTTAAGTAGATTCACAGAAGCAGAAAAATTTCATCCCACTAGAATCCCACTTTCCCCTTCTAACCTAGAATTGTTAGTTACAGCACATTTACTGTTCTGTCCAGTCTCATTTGAAAAGTCTCAAGCTGTAAGATTTCCACCACTTCCCTTGGGAGACTATTCCACAGTTTAATACATCTCACTATCAGGATAAATACCAAGGAAATCTGCCAAAGTTTCCACTTTCTTAATTTCATCGTTCTACTCCTAGCTATACCCGGAGTATCGCACTAAATAATCTCTCTCCCTGAAGGGTGTTTGCATCCTTCATATACAGCATATGTAACCATACCTTCCTTCTTACTCATTGCTTAACCAAGCTAGACATTATTTAGCTCTTTTAATATCTCCTCATATGTCAATCCCTACAGCCCCTTAATCATTTTTGTCGCTCTTTTCTGAGCTCTCTCTAGTTTCTGGAAACAAGATGATTCAAACTGAATGCAATATTCAAAGTTAAACTTTAAAAAGAAGTTGACAGTGCCTTTTTATAAGGCTTGTTTGCTTCCAAGTGTGGAACTGGCACAAATACCAAGGAGATTACAGTTCTCAAAGACTAACAGGCTGCCTGCCTTCCCCCCTTTTTTTTTCTTTAAAACTAACCAAAAGAGCCTCCCAAATAGTACATCTTCTGAATCTCTGAAATGAAACACAGTTTAAAGACCTCTGTTCATACAATTCCCCGTACATAAGACAGACACCACACACATCTGAGCAAATTACATATATACAACCCTGTAACCCTGCAACATTCATTAATAATGAAAATGCCAACTCTGCATTGCCTTTAAGCTAAATGCATGGCATGTGGATTTCATAGTGGTCACCAGGGTCTACAGCACCATTGCTCCTAGGGAAATTGAGCAGAAGGTAGAGGCGTAGCTTAAGCATATTGAAGGTATTATCTTTAACCACATCTGGGAAGGGTAGAAGATCAAAGGAGCACTATGATCACTGTAAGGCACACTCAGAGATGTATATTGCGTGCACACAGGAAATTATGTAATTCATAACCAATTACATATGTGTTGAACTGATGTATTTTAAAAATGTGCAATCTGTAACTTTTCATTCCACCACCTCACAGGATTTATTATTCAAGGCACCTTGGTCCAAAGCTCCTTCTAGTCCCATTTGATGAAGAATAACCCAAAGACCACAAATCATTTCCCTCGACTTTAATCCTCTTTCTCTAATTTCATTCTTTCTCCGCGGGTGCCATCTCCCCACCACATTCTCGCAGGGCCCAAAACAGTCACTATAGGCCATCAACAGATGGCATCTTAAAGAAAGGTCGGAAATGTTGGTGCTACCATAGAGACACCTCAGTGTGGGGGGAGCACAGAGATGAAAAGGGAATGTCCCCCCATGCAGTGGACAGTGATGTATCACTGTAAAAATTGCTCCTTTTGTTATCTGAGAAAGCTGCTGTCTGTTGTCCTCCTCCTGACCTTTAAATGTCATTAAGAGAAAAAAAAATCCAGCCTGCTCTGGTAAGAATGAGCAAGCGCTTGCTGAAAGCTGTCACCTGCAAACCCAGAGCTCATCAACGTATTTATCAATTCCAGTCAATGGCAGCAGAGCTGCCTGATCGAACGTAACCTTTCCTTACCGCTATGCCATATCCTTGCTGTAGTTACTGATACAAAAGGGTCTAATTCAGAACATGCAAAGGTTTTAGCACAAGTCAAAATGTATTAAAACTAACTTTCTGCTGTGACTTCCCTGAAAACCAGTGATGGGGAGAAAGGCTCAGGTCAAACAACATAGGAAGATCAATTATTTTTCTGTCACTTTCATAGGAAGCTTGCCCAATTTGGGGAAAATTCACCCATGTGCATAGAACCCACCCAAGTCCCATTTCAAGCTTTTAAGTCACACTTAAGTGACATATAGGCTTTGTGCTGGTTCTCCATACAGGAGTGAATTTCACTCTTTCAAATCAAATAACTACCGTATATACTCGTTCATAAGCCAAATATTTTTGGTAAAACGACGACGCATTAAAGAGCAGGGGTCTACACCAAAATGTGATGATTTTAAACTCTATGGAATCATTGAATTGAATATCTAATACATTGTCATTTTGTTTACCTGGAGCGTCTGCAGGCATGGAGCCCCTCGGCTCCCTGTGGCCGCGGTTTGCCATTCCCAGCCAATGGGAGCTGAGGATCTCCGTGCCTGTGAACGCTCCAGGTAAACAAAATGCCCCGACCTGCCAGCGGCTTACCCGGATGGGCTGGGAGCCAAAGTTTTCTAACCCCTGAAATATAGGGTCACTTTATGAAAGGGTCATACACTTTTTGCTATTTTTACTTATCCATTTTGGGGGGGTCGGCTTATAAATAAAGGGGCTAATGAATGAGTATAAATGGTATATTGTTTTTCTAACAGCTAGCTCCCAGGATCTGAATGTCCAGCCAGGCTCTTTGTCCTTCCGTCCCCACCAGTAATAAAGAGTCAGCAGTCAGAACTTAGCTGACAATTTTGTTGATGATGCACGACGTAGATGAGCTCTCCCTCAGCCATATTGGCTCTGCAGGGCTGTGTTAGTAAAGTCAGCAGGTGTGTAATCCAGGGACAAGCAGAGCAGGCGAGGAGACAAAAGATGACAAAGAGAGGAATGAGAGAAGATAAGCAATGCCCAGATCACGGAAGTCACCCTGTGAGAGAGATACAGGGAGCAATTTCTTACTATGATCCACTCTTTTTTATTTTGTGAAACTCTCTTGTCTGTAAAGAAAGTTAAAGCTAGATAAACATTAATGCAGAGCCCTACCCCACTATCCGCTGCCCGATTATAACAGAACTGTCAGCAAGGGCACCAGTAATAAAACTGGCGAGCACACCCTTGGCAAGTAGCAGCAGGCAGACATGGGTTGGTTTATAAAAAAAGACAAAGCTCGGCAGTGAGTGTTTGGAGGGTGCAAAGAGTGGCTGGTTATGTTTCAGTGTTTAATGTGGATCAACCACAAACAATAATGCTTTAATAACTAAGAATATAAAGACATTCTAGGCAGGACCTGTGACCCAGACCCCCCTCCCTGCCGCTGAGCCCCACCAATTTCACCTGGACCCCCCTGCAGAACCCCTCTGCAGAGACCCAATACCATTGCATCCAGAACCCCCAACCAGCCCCTGTGCATCTAGATCCCCCCCACAGCTGGATCCCCCACTGAGCCGCCCATACCCAGCTTGCCCCACACACAACCCTGTCAACCTACACCTGGATCCCCCCACATGAAGCCATTCCACACTTGGATCCTGCTTGCTAAGCTTGCCTACCCACACAGAGGGACAGGACCCTGGGGTGTTTCTGGGGCAGGCCCAGACCTTGCACTGTGTCAGGGTTGGGTGCAGCCTCACCACTAAGTCCGCGCCCCTGGGAGGGAGCTGCACAGTGATCTCCCACCTTTGTGCAGCCAGTAGCCTGTGCTCCCCAATGCCGTGCTGGAGCCTCCACATTTATTTAACAAATAAAATTTGCAGAATTTTAAAATATTGTGCGCAGAATTTTAAAATGTTTGGTGCAGAATGCTCTGAGGAGTAGAGTTTACACTGTCTGGATAGGTTGCTGACATTTATTAACACTATAAATCTCCTGTTGCTACCAAGAGGCCTGCAGTTACAAAGCAAACAATCCACAAGATGATTTAGGTAGTAAAACAGGGAGTGTGCATCTAAACCAGGGTTAAAGAACTGAACGTTTCCTTCTTGTACAGTATTGATTTGTTGAAACAAACAAGACGTTTCTCCATGTGCAGGTAGACTTGGCACTTACTACAGTTTTCTTCATCGCTGCCATCTGGACAGTCCTCAAAGCCATTGCACCGGAAGCGGCCAATGATACAATGGATCCCGCTAGCACAGGGGAAGAACGTGGAGCCACATCTGGATTTGGCTTTTGCTGCAAGACAAGAAACACAAAGACAGCCAGAATTAGGGAAACAATTTGCAGGAGACTAAAACATCTTCATATCAGAAGGATCTAAACCAGGGGTAGGCAACCTATGGCACACGTGCCGAAGGCGGCATGCGAGCTGATTTTCAGTGGCATTCACACTGCCTGGGTCCTGGCCACCAGTTCGTGGGGCTCTGCATTTTAATTTTAAATGAAGCTTCTTAAACATTTTAAAAACCTTATTTACTGAAAGAGACCTTCTAAAAACGTTAAAATGTATTATGGGCACGCGAAACCTTAAATTAGAGTGAATAAATGAAGACTCGGCACACCACTTCTGAAAGGTTGCCGACCCCTGATCTAAACGCAGGGCTAACCAGACACTCCCCATTACAAGACCATGCTTTCAGTTCTTGGAAAATGTTGTCCTTTAAATGATTTAATCTTGACAAAATTTTCCATGCAGGGTATCTGCCTCAGGCTGATTTTTTTTGGTATTTTATTTTTTTGGGGGAGGGGGAGGGGGGGAGGGTTAGTTTTTTTTCCAGCCAAAACAGTTAATCTGTTTCTGAGAACAAGGCTAGGGGGAACATTTGTTGTTTTGCACACGTTGTCTAGCAACTTCTCTTAGAAAAGCTCTAGAACAGGGACATGAAATTTGGTAGGGGATGGAGGACCTATGTGTCAGGGATATGTTGTTGTTTTTTGCTGTCCTTGTGAAAATCTGATCAAATGTGGCCAAGTTATAAGGCTTTGAAAAAAAAAATTACTGAGCATGTTCAAACTGTGGAGACCGATTAGAGTTCTGCAGCTAAAACCCCCAAAGATTCTGCCTGCATGGAGCAAACTCTGGCCTGGACTCTGGACCGCTGAGGACCATGTTGGGTCCACAGACCTGAAAGGAGAGCAGTGAGCCTGTCTCTCAGGTGCCCAGGACGAATTGCCCACTGGGCTTAGGCAACGTGGAGGAGGGAGATGCCTGATTCAAATGCAAAAGAGAGAAGAGCCAGACAGTGGGAAGACTGGGACCGGAGGCTGACAGGAGGAGGGAGGGGAGGGAAATTGGTAGTCAGGATGTGGGAGGAGACAGGGACTGGCTGGGCAAAGAGTGGGACAAGGAAGTGGGGTGTGAGAAGGACAGCAATACTGGACAAGGAGCCTGTGGAGAGAGATTAGAACTGGGATTATGTGGGGATGGGGACAGAGAACCAAGGGAAGGGGGTGCTAGAGGCCAGGGTCGGGGAGAGAACTATCAGATGAGGAGCAGGAAGTGGGGAACAAGGACTAGCTGGGCAAAGATACTGGGGACAGAAGCGGGAGATTGGGATAGGCAGTCCAGCGGGATGAGACCAGGGACAGGTTAGAAGGGATGGAGCAAAAGGGGCCACGCTTAGAAGGGGTGAACTGTTAGAGCATGATCCCCTCCACAGCCTGGAATATAACCCAACATTTCTGAGTCTCACCATCCCTCTGCTGTCAGAAAATATCTGTGAAACCCACTGGCAAAGTATGTGTTCACACAGAGAATCTGTGATAGTCCCACTACAGTTCTGGTCCATGCAGCAGTAGCAGGTTGTCATTCTCTATCAGTTACTCCATTAGCGTAAGTGGCAGAGGTCCGTGTGCTGCATAACATGGCCACTCACATCATGATGGCAAGAGCAAAAACATAACTCTGAGCCATGGACTCAAAAAGCTTCAGCTTCTACCACATGAGCTCAAGACATGTCCCATTTAACTGTTAGCATCACAGTGTTTATGGCACAGTTGAGCAGCTTTGATTCCACCAAGTAGGAGCCAATGGTACAGATGTATTCTAGTCAGGTCCAAACTTTTCATATTTCTATCCTGTCCTGCCTTTCCAAAGATTTCAGAGAGCTGTACAGATTAAGATATCCTCTAAAATGGAAATACTTCCAAGGAAGAAGACAGCAATCAACGGGTACAGAATACAATCAATGCACAATCAAAAAGCTAGAAGAAATCTCTTTCCATGGTCAATGGGGCAGACACTTGTTAGGGCACAGACCACTTCTAAGCTATGTTTCACACCTGTGGTTAAAACTACCAAAGAACAAACCATTCTCCCAAAACATCCTCCGAGAGGTCCTGCAAGAAGATTTGACATGTTTGCTCAAATTCCTTTATCCCTTCCCTTCTAATTTTTCACATTGGCATGCAGCTAGCATTTCCCTTGAAGCAGTATTAGTGGATTCTGGCCTCTTTGAAAGGTTTCTTATAAGTCACAGCCAATCACTGATCCAGTTCACTCACTCGCTAGCATATACCTGCATGCAATCAGACCTCCTCAAGTGTGTGTGATTATAATAGAATACATATTGTCCTCTAGTCACTAGCCTCTGAGAGAGAAGACTTAAATTGTACAGCTAATGTAGATTCTCCTTTGGCCCAGATGGTAATGGCCTGTTTTCTTGGGAGTTGAATGTCCCCAGTTCTAACCCTACAATCATGTGTTGATATTTATGCATTTGCAGCACATTGATTTTATGAGGACTCCCTGAACTGGAAATCAGAGTGCAATGATGATAGGCAATGCCTTTATGCCCAAAATGAATCTGTACCTCACAGACTGGCAAAGTTTAACTGGGGGATGGTGAGGAAGTATTACGAGAAGATAGCAAAGGAGGCACAAGGAGTGCAACAGTGGGGGAGGGAAAAGGAAAGGAAATAACTAAGAAAGGTGAGGGAGCAAAGAAGCCAGGACTTTGGCATCAATTCAGAGGAGATTCTCTCTTGCAGAGATAAAGTCAACACAGCTGCAATGAAATCTTCCCTGATGTCTCTCAGCAGATATTATTATATAAAACTACTTTAAGAGCAGTCACAGCAACTATTACTTGATTTAGTATCCTTCAAAACCAAGACATGCTGTCCCTGTCCTGCACATTCTCTTTACAGTATTAGTAGTTCTCAATTAGGATTATGAAGTATAAGTTAAGATGTATCACTTCAGATATTCACCAACTACCATTTTTTCCTGAACAGAATCCAAGGTCCACTCAGAAATAATAGGCCATTGCTTTGAAGAAAATAGGCGATAAATTATCCTGGAGTTACTGCCATGTTTAAACACACTAACTTTGGTAGCGGAAAAATCTCAATTGAAAAATATTTTACGTCCTCAGAACTCTTTCCATATTGCATTAGAGCTACATATCTTAATAGCCTTATGCTCTGAGACAAGTCCATACTTCACTGAGCATTTTACACTTCAGCTGCAGAATCCAAGGACCACGAAAGTACCCCCATGGCAAGCACAGCCTGTTCACATCCACCAGGTAGCTGGTGTGTATTATGGATTTGACTCTGCGTTCACACTAGAAGCTGCTTGAGCGGCAGTGAGAATGTATTGTCATCACACACTCACTATAGGCAGGGTTCACAGCGCTGCCTATTAGGGCTGCCCAGCACTCCCCATTGCAAAAATCTTGTTTTCGGTTGCTTATAACTTTGTCAAATTTTAACTATTCGGGCTGCTATTCTATATGCAGAGTTGTCTGCCTGAATAATTTTTTTGGAAAATTTCAGCCAAAACGGTTCACCCATTTCCAAGAACCAGGCTAGAGAAAAATAAGTTTTGCCCATGTTAAAAACTATGGTGACCTTTAATTTGAATAGCTCTAGCGCAGTGGTTCTCACCTTGCTGTCCAGTCAGCACACAGCTGCAGCCCATGTGACATCCTCAAGGCCATATGTGTAGCACATATATCGTGTGGATGAAGCCTACATAACGCATGGAGAGCGGCATATGCAGCCCACAATAGTCAATAGGTTCAGAACCACTGCTCTAGCACTTCCATACTTTAGACCAGGGATGTGCCTATTACCATCGCTGGGAAAAATGTACCCACATTTGGTCAAGTTATAAACCTTTGAAAAACTGCAGTTTGTACATGGTCAGAGACAACTTCTATCTTAGCAGTCAAAATCTCCCAAGAGTCCATCCTCACTGAGCATGCTCCAGACTCTCTCAGCTCTCAGTGCTCGCGTGCACCAACACCACAGAGCGACTGAGCACAGGCAACTTTAATTCTGGCATTTCCTAACTTTTAAGTGCCTGACTTAGCAACCTTAATAACAATGTTCTGTGACCACAGTATATTGCACACAAAATAGCTAAGTCAGATCCCACTGGAGTCAGAAGATAAGGAAAGCAACATGCTCTAGATACCTATAAGAGCAAAACGTTTAGGTCCAAGGAGTTTCATGCTGCTATTGAGGCAGTCTAAGTTTTAAAAAGGCCTTTCCCATATTTCTAGAATCTCAAATAGCCAAGGTCTAATGAGTGGATGGGATTCAGAGAGATTTTCACTTTCGGTTGCAGGTTTAAACGTAGCCCATGCTGGTAGTGAGAGGAAACTGCTATAATCTAATGATTAAATATGGTATTATGGAGTTTGTTGGCTTCGGTCCACTTGTTAGTGAACAAAAGTCCACACCACATAAATCACTACTTCAGCCATCATTTTCAGTGGTGAGGGGTAAGAGTAGATGGCCCCTGGAGACTGAAATATCCTCATATCTTAGAATTAGTTCTTTAAAGTCAAGACACAAATACACTGGTAGGTCAACATGGGGAAGCTTCAATTGCTGTTGCCTATGCTGCACCTGCTGTCTGGATAAATGGGGGACTTCAGTCTACAGCCCTGTCAATTCAGCCCCAATTACTAGCACCAAATCCAGAAGACAATAAAAATCTGGCTGATGAGTTACAAGAGGCAGCATACTGATATTCTAAGTTACACAGGACATACAAAGATCCTTACTTATTTTTAGTTTCCCCCTCTTGACACAGATCACCCAGAGCAAGGGGATTTAAATATGCACTCCAGGAGAAATAGCATGACTGCTTTTACCTAATTACATCAAGTACAAAGAAAAGCAATTAGCTGGAATTCAACCAACCAATATTTTTCTGGCACATTTATGTGCCTTTGCTTGAAATTGGAGGGATTTCCCCTTGTCCAGACCCCATTTGATATTGT